ACACACACACACACACACACACACACACACACACACACACACACACACACACACACACCTCTGAGTACAACATATACAACTGTACCCAAGGTATTTGAGGGTCTGGGCCATGGTGGAGGTCTCTCTGCTGCTGAAACAGCCCTTCTTGTGGTTGTTAGCTGCAGCGGGCAGCGGGCATGTCTGACAGAGGACTGCCGGGGCCCGTGAGGTCACCAGGAAGCCGATCCCAACCAGAGCCCGCACACTCAACATCCAGATACACACTGCTGCAACAGAAGAGAGAACAGCCCTGAACTAAAGGAAGAACACCCCACATGGGTCTCATGAGCTATTGCGCTGATTAAAGTGGAACTGTGGAGCCCAAACAAGACAGTTTCACATGAAGCAAAAGCCTGCAGGCTACGGCTCAGGCAGGCATGATCCGAAAAATGTATATTGAGCAACCAGTCTTGTAAACATTGTATGTTTTTAGTTAAGATTCATTATTATAAAATGATCATTATACTAAATGTGCTGGTAAATATACGTGGATCCGTGCTACAATCTGTTTTCTGTTAGTGTGATCAAGACTTTGTGATGTTATTATGTGATTGTTATGCGTGTACCTGCCCAGGGAGTGCAGATGGAAATGAGCTAATAGCCTCATATGGCATAATATCTGCATTCTTTTTTATATAAATGTATTTTTATGCATGGTAAATTAAATAATTTAAAGAAATAGTGTGTATATTAGGGCTTGGTAATGTATTAATTGTATATTGTGATACTGATAATAGACTAGATACCGTCTTACAGTTTAGTTATTGTTAAGTGGCTAGGTGCCCTTTGCTGCTTTCAGTGCTTGCTTGCATTTTATTTTCCCTACATGCACTCTGGCTGTGCACTCACTGTCCCTGCAGCGAAGAGCATCGATCATCCCTGGGCTCTCAGCAAATGCTTGATATGGTTTACAGGAAGAGAGGAGACAAAGTGTGTCCGAGCCAAAGTCATTTGCATTTTAAATCACAAGGCTGAACTTGTACTTAGGGCAGAGAGAACATTAAACCAAATCATCCTGAACTGAAATGATTATTAAGTAGGGCTCCAGGTAGCTTTTAGCATCTTTTTCATAAATGGCTGTAAAAAAAAAAAATAAGTGAAAATGATACATTCCCATAGGTCAAATTGTTTTATCTGAATTAAAGGGCCCATGTCATGGCCATTTCCACTGATCATAATTACATTGTTGAGGTATACTAAAATAGATTTATACTGTGCAATTTTCCAAACTCACATTGGTTTCGCATACAGCATCTCTGTCAAGCATGTGTATTCAGCAGTATTCACTTTCTCCACTAAACGACTCGTTGGAGCTCTTGCCCCCCCCTCCCTGTGAGCCTAGTGTGCTCCGATTGGTCAGCTCGGCCACTCGTTCTGATTAGTCAACCACCAGAGAGGCTGCGCCCATGTCAGTGCTTTTCCCGGCTGCTCTCAGCGTAACATCAGTCTTATCATGGCGTCGGTACAGCGGTATATTTTATATACATATATATTTTTAACTGTTGTTATAGAAGAGTGTGACGGCCTCAGGGCCTTTGTCTTACGGTGGGGTGGAGCTGAAGAGGCTAATCAGCGCGATCACGGACACCTCCGTAGCCGGTGCTATTAATCCCAGCGGCCCGGAGTCTCTCTCCAAAGCGGCTGCAGAAGGACGAACTGAGCGACCCTCTCCCCTCGACCACCTGTCTCTGCATTTACCACAATAAATGTGCCGTGGTTTTGTAAACTCGTGTATGTCTCCTTGTCTTTCCGTTGTGGCCTACGAGCTACTCTCATAAAAAAGAGTAAGTTATTTTTACCCGTTATAAACTACTACTGTTTGATGAGAAATCAAATCATGGTTTGCTTTATATGAATTCAGGGAAGAAAGGATAGGCCTACTAAGTATTTCCATTAAACTTTATTTTTAGAAATGTACAAAATGAACATAAATATACATATATACACGGTATATCATCCATTCCTCCTCGCATCTTGCCTGCGCACAGTCGGTGCGGTGCCTTTTAGCACGAGGCCTCAGTAGTAGTAGAATCCCTTCCCCGTCATGGATTGTCCGCCAGGATCTGGCTGGACGAAATCAAATGCAAATCACAAAATATTAGAGAAACTTAGTTGTTTTAGATTCGTTAGTAGTAGTTGTGTAATGAACAGCTTGCCTGCTAATATGCTAACCTAGCTTTGTTTACCTTGGTAGCTAACACGATATGAACGTTAGCTTGGAGGAAAGGCAACTATAATGCAGTGTAATAAAACTACTATGAACAAAAGCTAGTGGTTCATATTAGGCTAGCAATAACGTGTTTATAATTGCAATCGTATACGGGTATTCTGCTACGTTCGGTCATACAATGTAACTTGCATGAATACATTGTTTTGCGCTAGCATACAGCTAGCCTCGTTAGCTACATGCAGTATATGTACGGTCACAATGTACGGTAAATCACAGTACAGTATACTGTATGAGTATTCCGTGTGTGTGACTGCAGACATTCTCCTGCCATGACAAACATGTAAGGCCATCTGCTGACATTGTAGTTGATATATTTAAACGCTAGCAACGTAGCATCACAAAAATGTTTTTCTGACCGAAACTAGCTCTAGCTCCGTGTGTTAGATCGCTACGCCAGCTATAATGTAATTACGTTTCGCGACTGACCGGCAAATCACCCGGAGTATACTGTCAATAGGTATTTTGTGTGTGAATGCAGACATTCTCCTGCTATGAGATACATGTATGCAAGGCCATCTGCTGATATTAGAGTTGATATATGGAAACTCTAGCAACTTAGTTAGCACAGTTAGCACTGTGTCAATGGCTTAGCAGTCCAACACAGTTTACACATTTAAACAGTCTTGTTTGATAAATACACAAATAACAATGCAAACTTACAGGTTGTATACCCAGATCTTCCCCTGCTCCAAACGGTCCAAACAAGCTGTGCATATCCGGCCTCAAACTGGGCAATGTTTTGGAAGCTTTCGTCTGTGAAATGCCGGTTCTTCGAACCTCTGGAGGAGGAACACGACGCTGCTGGTGTGGCCATAGCTCTTCGGGATTGGTCCATTTCGTTCCGGGTACCGCATGACATCAGGCGGTACCCGGAACTAAATGGAAGACTCAAATGGGCAGTGACGTATCTCCAACGAGGCGTTTTGGGGAGGTATTTTCTGTGTTAGAGTTTTACTCGCTACAGGGTGTACTTTGAGGGTTTTGACTCTGCACACCGTTTACATGCATAAAAACCTTCATAACACACAAGGGGACGGGTAATAACCGGAAAAGCATGACATGGGAGCTTTAATGCTGAAAAGATCAGTGTTTTTTTAAGTCTGTCTGAATATAATCTATGTTGGGCTCTGGAGCTCTGGCATGACTCTGGTGAGATGGTGAGATCAAATATCCAAATCCGAAATAAGGGAAAATAAATGTATCCAATGAGCACATTTCCAAAAAGATGGGTTCAGCCTTACGATACGATTGGGACATTTTACAGTTTAAATCAATAACCCTATAGTGTAATAGCTGTTGTAAAAATAATAGCTAGTTGACAATTCAATCTAATTACCTTTCAAATTATATTCAACAGAATAGAGCAGAATTTGTCATATTTTAGAAGCTGAGCAGCAATTATTATTATTATTATTATTATTATTATTATTATTATTATTATGATGGTACTTTTACAAGACCACTTATCGATATTTTTTCAATCAACTAAAAGTAATTTATCTGCAGTCTACTTTTAATATTTTCAAATTAAAAATGTAAGTAAAATCTGCATTCTAAAAAATATATACAATTACGTAAATAATATAATGCAATGCAAGCCATGCTGATGTTACTTCATTTGATCAACTTTATTTTGGCTGTTGCACACGGCCCCACCTGTATCAGCTTTACTTAATGTACTAGGTGACTTTAGCAGTAAGCAACTAGCATATAAATTAGCCCTTTGGTGGAGACAGAACGAGTCAAGTATGTTAATTACACATGTTTGTTTTAGTGACAGTTCATAAACGAAATACTTAAACCACATAAAGGTCAAGTTATACTTTTGAATTCAGTCTTCAGGCTGTGAAGTTGTTGCAAGTTGTTAGCTGAACTTTAGCTTTAGCTTGAGTATACTGACTTTGAGACAAATTATGAATGACACTCACCAAATGCAAGCAAGTCTTCCTTTAAAACAACTTCACATGCACATTTCCCCTCATGAACAATGCAGCGACACGACTTACGGATAATTAACAAACGGATAAAGTGTAGGAGAGCCGTGCAACACCTGCAGCCAAACTGTGTCAGCCACTTCCGGGTTTAACAAAATGCTGATTTCAAAATAAAAGTTCACAGTGAGAAAGTGCTGTACGGGAAGGGAGAGTATATTTTATAAAATATTTAATTAAAAAAATGGACAGTGGTGGTAATATTGAATTCTATTGACCTCTATCTTAACTTCTGCATTACCTTATCTTATGTTCTCTTTTTTAATTGTGTTTTTTTTTTTCATACATAATTAATCAAGAATGTTCTTTACTAAAAATATGTACCTGTGTAACTGTTATGCATCTGCCAATAATAGTAATAATTTGGATCTAAAATTGGCATATTATTATATATTATATTATGCGAATGTCATTATTGTTGAATTTATATTTAAGAGGCATTTTAGAGTAACAGTATATGATGCACTGAAATACCTTGAATTGGTAGTACATTGTTGATTTAAAAGTGGTTTATTACACCACAGTTAATAACAAAAGAATAGGTCATCGGAACCAATGCAGTAATATTGCAAAAAATGTAGTTGATGTATTGTGTTCATAAAGTAAAAACGTGTTCTGTGTCTATGTTTCAAATGAACAACAAAACCCACTTCTTTTTATTTTGCTATTTGCAAGTACCTAGACTGCTATCCTATCATTATTGTTGAATAAGACAAATATGGCAGAATTCTGAAAAAGATGTTTATTGATATAAGAAGAAAATACACAATATTCCTCAGATCAGTAGAAAGGTTGGGGTCAACCTTTACTGCAACCCTGCCGCATCAGTAAGTTCACGTCGGTACGAAAATGAAAATCTGATGAAACGGTTATATAAGCAGCACAAAAAAGCATGATTTATCGTCCAGCAACAACTCTTTTTGAAGTAAACAAGGCTTTTAGTACAAACAGTTGTTTGACAGTAAGTTGTTCAAGTAGCTGATTCATGTTGTGTTGCTATGTGAAAGGCTGGTATATATTTCCAACCATTAATGACAGCAAAGCAAACAAAGTGACTGCTAAATCGCCATTTAAATTCCAGAAAGAAATCATAAGCACGCCTATGTACATTATAAAAAAGCAGTATCAAGTTTTTTTGCATGCCTTATTTTGAAATGATTATTCTGTTATACATTAACTAACCTTAATAAAACTGGTAACTATAAAGCACTAATAACTGAAAACTAAAAGAGTTGAAGTGTTCCAGCGAGGGTCCATGGGGCTCACATGATTGGACAGTTCTCCATTCTGGATCCAGTCTACGAGGAAAGATGACAAAGTTAACATCAAACACAAAAATAAAAAATAAATAAAAAGCACTGATCTCTAAAATCAGAAGAACACTGGTGTTTCAGCATCCTAGTGGAGCTGATGTTTTGTCTTCCTTTGTGATGAACTCATTGCTCACTTTGCGAGGACTGCTGGTGCTGAACACGTAGGACTGCGGCAGTAGACCCTCGGAGATCCCTCCGCTGCGGAAGGATCTGGAGGGGGAGGTCACGGAGCAGTGGCTGGATTTGTCTGAAGGAAGTCCACAGGAGCCGCAGACCACCGTGCGGCTGCGCAGGTTATACTCACTGTCTCCGCAGGTGCTGTGAGCCACCTGCTGAGGCAACACACAGTTGTTGTTAGTATCACAGCAATTCATAAGTAAACACTCTGCGTTGGTTTTATTTTTTGTAATTTGGTGATAGCTTGGCCAAAATATTTAGAGAAGAGTGTTTTATTTTTGAAAGGACCACATGGATATCTTTAGGGGATGCAGGATATTTGACAAAACTATAAACCTCGTACAATAAATTCAAAAGAGATCATAATCATAAACTGTTTTGATATTTGATTAATAATTTGAGTAATGTTTAAAATATTTCCTGGATTGACTTATAAATAGTTTTTCTGACTTTCTTAGAATTATATAAAAGAAAACAGAAAATGTGTATTTTGGACTGTTGGTCTTCTAAAGAAAATATAGATAATAATCCATAAATGAATGAGGTCTGTTCTAACCACTTTTTTTATAATGATGACAAAATGTAGTGGTTGTTCCACACTTTCAGACCCTTTGTATAGCAACAATAGAACAAATATATTGCAAATACAGGTTTACAGATTGTGTGTTTCTGCATTACGCCCATGGACATGGCTGATTTCCAATATCAATATTAGGTTAACTTAAAGGGACAACACAATCTATTGTACCACCCTGAGCACTCAGATTTATCCTGCAGATTTCTGTGTTCAAATTCAATTTATCTTACCATGTCATCATCTTCTTCTTCAAGCTGTGTGCGGGTGACCTTCCTCATTGCCATTTCCTGAAGGAAAAAGTATTTACGTTTTTATTTTTGCACATTTCTGACACTAAAAAGCTCTGTGCATATCATTTGACACAAGCCTGGGCTGAGGCCATATTAAACCTAATGTCATCACAGTACTATAGGCTTAGATAAAGAACCATTTGACCGGTAAATTCAGAATACCTCTCCATTGGCGCTTATCAGGGTGGTCTGGAAGTGGTCTCCGGTGCCCCAGGAGGCCTGAGTCTTCCACACCAGGTCAGAGGGAGGATTGTGGGGAACCCCAGCACCAGAGGCCCAGATCTGTCACCGGGAGTTAAGGTTAACAAAGGTGAGTAATCTGTTACTCTGTTTATCACTATACTGATTTGTGATTCTTCTGAGTGAAGGTATTTCTTACCGTGACCCTCTGCCCAGCCTTTAAGGTGAATTTCACCGGGAACTTGAAGATGATTGGAACACCAGATCCCACCTGTCGCTTCAGCTGCCAGTTTCCCAAATTCTGGTCCTGATGGTTGGATTAAAAAGGTCAGCAGTTGTTTTTTAAAGCTTCAAATCCCCGAAGTAAGTTGAATTCATAATATGTAATCACCCAAACATGTATTCACCCCTCACCTCATCGCTCTTGTTGCTGAGCCTGACATACTTCCCGTCCAGGTCCACCTCGTCCACGGTGACGCGCCCGCTGGCTGAGGCCTGCTGGGTGATGCGGGTGCGGGCCACAGATCCTCCTCCCATGCTGGAGGCCTCGCTGTCCGTGTCGTTGGGGCGGCGCCTCTTGGCAGGAGTGCTGTTAGTGCTGTAGTGAGCTGAGCGAGACAGAACTCCGGACGCAGAGGAACGACTTCCTGTCATCTTGGTGGGAGGGGGACTGGGGGAGAGACGCAGCCTGCAGGGACAAACAAGTGTTAGTGACAGAGGAAGAGGTAAGAAGGACATTTGCTCAAGTACTAAGTATCATTTTGGATGCTTGTGCTTTAGGTAAGTATTTTCATATTATGATAATTTATGCATTTCACTACATCGCATAAGTCGAAGTATGATATGATATAAACCCTGTTCTTATTTTTCTATTGAATATTTGTGTTTTAATGTCATTTTATCTAAGTCTTTTATGGGTAGGAAAATGTTCTGTCATTGTGACATTTAATCTTTAATGTTAATGCATTGTTATTTATGATCCAATTATATATTTTACATTCTTCGGAAATAGGCCATTATGCACATTAAGTTTACCTTTGTATTTAAGGTATATTTTGATGCTAATACCTTTGTACTTTTACCTAAGTACGATTTGGTTTCCAGGATTTTTACTTGCACAAAAGTGTCTCTGCAATGTCGTATTACTACTTTTATTGAATTGAAAAATCTGGATACTACTTCATCCTCTGGTTATGAATGGCAACTCTGTAGCACAAAGGAAATCACTGTTGAATTACCGCAAGACTCTTTTTTGTGACTGTTTACCTCTGCTCCTCTCCCTCCAGCAGCTTCCTGTAGGCACAGATCTCCATATCCAGAGCCAGCTTGACGTCCAGCAGCTCCTGGTATTCGTCCAGCTGCTGCTGCATTTTCTGCCTCATCTCCGCCATTTCTCTCTCCTTCTCCCCCAGCAGGCGGCGGGTGGTGTCCCGCTCCCGAGACATGGCGTCCTCCAGGTCCCTTATCTTGGCCTCGCGGGCCGCCAGCTGGATCAGAGAGAGGGTGACACCGTTGTTAGATTAAATAAGACAAAAAATACCAAAAAAACACAGCTTCAAAGCTTCTGATTTGTCAAGCAAAGCAAAAGATGGTGAAAGGAGTTTTTTGGTATTCAGACATTTTTTGTAAAAGCAAGAAAAATCTGATTAAAATGTAACATTGCAATTTGTGCAAAAAACAGCCCAACTAAACTTTTAAAATCAGCAAATATAAAGTAAAAAATGTTTAAATATGAGTTTCAGTTGAATATATTTTTTGTTATATTTGGCCTAACATACCAACGAGGAAAAACATGACATGATGCCTGCTTTCTTTTAAACAAGGCATGCTCAGAAGCAGAATCAGAACTTGTAAAATGAAGCTAAATTAAATAATATAAAATACAAATATACTGTACATTTAAAAAAAGGTAAAATAAAATAAGAAGAAATATAATTTTTAAATAATTTAAAAAAAGTATATGCATACTATATTTTATTTAATACAATAACCACAGTAGTGCATTCATAAGAATCATTTACGTGTAATACAGTATTAACTCTAATTGTTTTGAGAATTGCAGAGTTCAGTTGTTGATTTCATATTGATGCAATGTATTATGCCCTCAGCTGCTCCTCACTGTACCTGTTTCTGCAGCTGGCTGATCTGAGAGGACATGGACTCCAGGCGGATGCGTGTCTGCTGCAGCTCCTCGTGTGCGGCTCCAACCAGGTGGCCGCTCCTGTCTGCAGTCTGACGAGCGTTCTCCAGCTGGCAGAGAAACAACAAGGGAGGAAATGATTTAAATCTAACATTAAAAAAAAACTGCAGTCTGAAACTCATTTTGCTTCAGTAGTACCAGCCCGAATGAGTTCAATGCATTCCTGTTTTATGATGTTTTGGATAATTATTGTGTGCAGTTTGTGTTTTGTATTGTGTCTTTTTTTTTTATTACCTAGAACAAAAAATGTATGGTGTACCTTGGAATTGTAGGTCTTCTCGACATCCTCCTTGTACATTTTTATCTGCAGTTCATGCTGACTACGCATGTCCGCCAGCGCCTCCGATAATTTGCTTTCAAAGTCCTGCACGTGGCCATTGTCCATCTCAACCATGCGGGACTCATGACGCCGCTTTGTCTCCCGTAGCTCCTGTTGGACGATTACAAACACAAAATAATTTTCAGGTGGTGGCTGATGAGATTATATGAAAAAGGTTTCATATATTTTTCAAATAATTCCTTCAATATAAGTGCTTTTTTTCTCAGGGTCTGACCTCAGAGTGGAGGTTCCTGCAAAACTCCAACTCCTCTTTGAGGGTCTGGATGCGGTTCTCTCCGTCCACCCTCCTCAGCATCTCATCCTGCAGCTGCTTCTTGGCATCGGCCAAACTGGTGTCCAGCTGAGAAACAGGAACTGAATATTAGATATTCACATAAAGAGGCAGCAGAATGCAGGAATATGCATTAAATACAATGAAAGGGCAAAAGAGTTTATGGAAAATTCTGAGCTTTACCAGCAAAATACTTAATTTGCTCACATAGGCATCTCTGCTTGTCTAGCTGACATCTCTCGGTGGATGTCTGCTCACCACCTCAAGCTCAACCTTGACAAGACTGAGCTGCTTTTTCTTCCTGGAAAAGATTGTCCCACTCTTGACCTAACAATCAACATCGGCCCCTCTGTTGTTTCCCCGACTCAGACTGCAAGGAATTTGGGTGTGACCCTAGATAACAACCTGTCCTTCACTGCAAACATCGCTGCTACAACCCGCTGCTGCAGATACACTCTTTACAACATCAGGAGGATACGTCCCCTCCTGACCCAGAAAGCGACACAACTTCTGGTCCAGGCTCTCGTCATCTCACGCCTAGACTACTGCAACTCCCTCCTGGCTGGTCTACCTGCATGTGCCATCCGACCTCTGCAGCTCATCCAGAATGCAGCGGCTCGTCTGGTCTTCAACCTTCCAACATTCTCCCACACCACGCCTCTCCTCCGCTCCCTTCACTGGCTTCCAGTAACTGCTAGAATCCACTTCAAGACACTGGTACTTGCGTACCATGCTGTGAATGGATCTGGCCCTTCCTACATCCAGGACATGGTTAAACCATACACCCCAGCACGTGCACTCCGCTCTGCATCAGCCAAACGGCTCGCTGCACCCGCACTGCGAGGGGGACCCAAGTTCCCATCAGCAAAAACACGTGGGTTTGCTATCCTGGCTCCAAAATGGTGGAATGAGCTCCCCATTGACATCAGGACAGCAGAAAGCTCACACATCTTCCGGCGCAGACTGAAAACTCATCTCTTTCGACTCCACTTCGAGCAATAAAATTACTAACAAAGCACTTATATACTAATAAAGGACTGGCTTATCTAAAGCCAGTTGAGTAGCACTTGAAATGTTTTGGCTCTATGAAACCTGATGTACTTATATGATTCTGTTTTCTTCTAGTTTGTATCTTCTTGGTCGAATGCACTTATTGTAAGTCGCTTTGGATAAAAGCGTCAGCTAAATGCAATGTAATGTAATAGGCACTCACCTATACAGAATATTATACTTTTTTAACTTCAGGAACTTATTTGGGGCTTTTGAGGATATTTCAAAACTCCACTCAAGACACTGGAAAAACCTATCCAGTGGTGAATGGGTTAGCTGTGCTGTGATAGCTGACATTTACTAAAGTGGAAAACGCAGAGAAGTATGAGAGACAAAATTAGGGTTTATGAGCATAGGCTTACTGCAGAAAGATTGACCCCAGATGTGTTTCCACTGAGGTACAAACTGAGTGGGGGTGTCAGTTACCTTGGCAACCTGCGCATTCAGGTCCCTGTTTTCAGCCTCCAGGTTACGCTTCTCCCCTAGAGCCGTAGACAGGGACGCATCCTTCGAGTTCATCATAGCCTCCAGGTCTTTGAGCCTCAGCAGCGCTGTAGCCAGGTCTGACTCCTTTTTGGTGTTCCTGCAAAGACACACAGATGTCGAGTTGAATCTTCGTGGATGTGTTATGAAATTGATAGTGAATATTCCAGTGAATGGATTATGAGTAAAGATACATTTTGAGTTGAAATTCATGGGATAGTTATCCAAAAGAATCCAAACATTTTTTTTTTTCTGATACTCAAAGTGTAGTTTGAGTTGCCAAAGTTTGGAGACACGGCCTGCAGAGGTTGTCTGCCTTCTTTCCATAATAATGAAAGTAGATGGAACCTGACTTGTGGTGCTCCAAGCGCACATTTGTTGAACTCAACAGCAATGTCTCTCATTTACTCAAGATAATCCACTGACCTTCTTGTGACTAGTTTCATGTTGGAACTATTTCCTTTTTGCTGTTTTACCACACCGAAAGAAGCGTGCAGCTAATCAAAAACAGGCTCATTCACAGTGGTGTAAAGTAACTAAGTACATTTACTCAAGTACTGTACTTAAGTTCAATTGTGAAGGACTTTTTTTGCTACTTTGAACTTCCACCCCACTACAATTCAGAGGTTAATAGTGTACTTTTACTCCACTACATGTATTTAATACCTTTAGTTACTTTACAGATCTGGATGAATGATGTGAAATATAATCGACCCTTAAATCAGACTTTAGTTCCACCTGGAGTAAATTCTCAAGCTACCCTGCAGTATACAAAGTCATTCAAACTAGCTGCACCTTTACCAGCTTTGAGAACACTTTAATGATCAATCATTATAAAACATATCATACATATTATTCTGAAATGGAACAATCTGCAGAATGAGTACTTTTAAGTATATTTTGATGCTAAAACTTTTGTACTTTTACTTGAGTAACATTTTGAAATGTAGGACTTCTACTTCTACTTTTAATTAAGTACACTCTGCTTATTCCTAGTTATACCTAGTTTGGTAGAGAGAAAATAGTTCCTACACAAAACTGTTATCTACAAGATGTGTGGATTATCTTGAGCAACTGGGTCATGATTTCTGGAAATAGACGTTGCTGTTCTTAAAATGTCTTTTTTTGGCGATTTCCTTCCGAAGCCAAATGCCATTTTGATCCGTTATATTGGAGAGGAGGCAACATCTTGACGGCCGATATTTCGTCAATGGCAACTCGCTCCAGAAGTATCTACACCGATAGATTGCACTACAAGTAAAAGGATGGATACGTTTTTTAGGTGGAGTTCCTTTAAGTGGAAACTGAACTACTACAGTTTCCTTTACGGAGTCTAATGAAACAAATATGAGCTATTTTAGATCAAGGATGTAGTCCAGATAGAGACGGGAAAGACCTTGGTGCATATGACTCATAGGCCACAGCGATCAACGTTCAGTCCCATGTTTGCGGTAGCCACAAACCACAGCCGTTTATGTTTGGCTGACACGCTGCCATGGCGACGGCTCGACTTTGCCAAACATACAACGTCCGTCGTCTCAACATCTATGGAAAAATAATGGAGGCAAGAGTACAGCCCTCTAAACACTGCCACGTATTGTGTGCATAATGATTGCCTTGGTAGGAGGAGAAACGGGGAAAGAGTTAGTCATCAGGCTCTGGATGTGGCAGCATGGGAAGAGGAGAAACGTCAGGCAGCAGTGAGCAATGAGGAGGGTATGCTCCAGGCAGGGAGTGGCCCCTGAACCAGGGCAGCTCTCACACTGTCACATATAAAGCATCAGCTATTAAAAGCTAATGAGTAACTCTGATCTGCTGCTGTGGATCACATGCAGATATTATCACTGTAATCACACTCTAGTATGTTGCAATGGACTAATGATTCATTTACTTAATCCCTTTGCTACTCTTTACAGGGAAGCATATCACATATTTGACAAATATAGAAAGATGTTGAAAGTGGGGCTTTCATAAGCCTTGAGCTGCTTCCTCTCATGATCCTCCAATAAACATAATATCTTGTTCAGTAGTGTCTTTTCATTTTATTTCATACCAGGAAGACTTTTTAAATCTTCTTGGAAGAAAAGGCAACCAGTGACACGGTGTATGCTCGTCAGCTCTTGTTACATGATGTCTACTGTTATACTGCAAGATCTTTAAAGTTAAGTATTTTGAGGGTGAAGTTTAATTTTACTTAAGTGCGACAGCAGCCTCTGTTACCACATGTGCTAATTATGGGATAATAGTAAATGCGTAAACAGTAATGTAGAAAATAGTCATAATGACAGCCAACTATCTCTGAAGTTACAAAGCAATTCCTATCCAAAGTTTGCTAACATTAGCCACCATTATCTATTGGGCATACCCAGACCACGTGAGGCTGTAACAGAAAAGCCCAGAGTCTAATGAATTGAGTGAAAGTGTGTCCAAACTATACCTTACTCTTCACTTGATTTCCTACCTCAGTCAACATTTTCCTGATAAGTGAATGGTCTCAATCGCTAGTTTTATGTTTCCTTTAATACAGCATGATGTTACTTATGTCATTTAGGGTCCCATTTAAACTAACGTAGACAATAAAGCATGGTAGTACTAGGTAAACCTGGTAAAAGATCGTGGCTACGTTTTTATTGGCAAGTTGCTATGTTGACCTCTCAATAAGGACAGAGGCTTAGAAGGAGGAGTATCCCTTTCTAGCTCCACCCTCGTAAAAAATGGTAACTTCCAAAAAAATAAAAAATAAATGGTGACGTCCAAAATGCCAAACTCTAAACTTTGAACCCCAAGGTGACGTCATGATGATTAAATCCACTCTCTAGGTTTATTAATTATTTGAACTTGCTGAACTCTTTAATAAGTTAGACAGTCTGTTGAACTGTGAATAAACTACATCTCATGAACACACATGGGTGCTTTTAACAAATTCAGGGCCTCAAACGTGCGGGATCACCCCTAAACCCCCCCTATCCTCCCGCAATGTACATTTTCACTGATTGAAGATTTAATTTTTCCCGAACACATATATAACCACACAAAAAGGTTGAGTTTGTCTTGTGCTGCAGCTCACCTTGCCTTCAGCTCCTTGAAGTCCTCTCTCAGTTTGGCCAGCTCCAGCTGCAGCCGGGCCCTCTCCTTGGCCACAGAGTCCAGAGTCTTCCGGGCATCGGCCAGCTCCGTCTCGTAGGCGGCCTTCAGGCCCGTCAGCTCCCGGCTGACCTCTGTCTCTGACTCGGTGATGCGCAGACGCAGGCCGGCATTCTCAAACTCCAGTGAGCGCACCTTGTCAATGTAGACGGCCAGCCGGTCGTTGAGGTTGCACAGGTCCTCCTTCTCCTGGAGCCGGGTGATACGGTTGGGGGACAGAGGTGTGTTGGAGCCCCGGGGAGTATTTTTGGGTGTCGCCATGGCACTTGTCTTTCTGGAAACAGACATGATTATCAAATTAATCATTCTGTACAGTTGTTTTTCCATGAACAAAATGTCTAAATACTGGCATAATGAGCTTAGTACAATAAAAACAGGCCTTTACATAGGATGATGGAGAAAGTTGACCATGCAGTTCTGTTACAAATCTACATTCACCTACTTTATAATCAAAATCAATCCAGAAAAGAATCCCCTCATTTAGGTATAAAAGTGGACTTTTACTGTAATAATCTGTGACTTCCCACACAAGTAAAACAAAGCTATAATTGAAAGGTTAGAATTAAGAATAAAACATAATTTACCACATAAGGTGCACAGAAACTCTTTTGAGTGCATTGAGATAAAACTTTCAAAAGAAAAGTTCATCAAAGGACATGGGAGGGGTTGTCGACTCCACCCAAAGCTCAAAGTAAAGACTCTGCACAAAAGATGCCAACTTCGATGGGAATATTTACCTTTTTATAGCTGGGTAGAGGGTAGAAGTAGATAAACTTAGGATTTTCTGAGACTTCTCTGTTGGTTTTCTTTGGTATCTTGGGATGAGAGCTTTCCTCTAAGTCCTCCTGCACTCTTCAGTCTGTTAGAGCGATGTCTGCAAATCCATCTGTGGGTGAACACCCGGGTAGGAAAGAATGAGATGGGAGGAGAGGAGAGAGGTTGGACTCAAGTTTGGCACTTCATAGGTGGTTGTTTGCTCTTTTTTTCTCTCTCTCTCTCTCTCTCTCTCTCTCTCTCTCTCTCTCTCTCTCTCTCTCTCTCTCTCTCTCTCTCTCTCTCTCTCTCTCTCTCTCTCTCTCTCTCTCTCTCTCTCTCTCTCTCTCTCTCTCTCTCTCTCTCTCTCTCCTCTCTCTCTCTCTCTCTCACACACACACACACACACACTGTATGGGTGTGCAGTCTGAATGAATGAGTCACCCGCTATACTCAAATAAATGTTAGGGGATCATTTTAAGATCTATTGCCTGAGAGTTCACTTCTGTTCATTCATGGCTTTTGACTCGAACCACAGTGCTTATGCTTCTCCAAGAAGTTCAGATGAAGAACTTTTATTAGAAACAGGATGTCGTATTTAGCATTTACAAATCTATATGGATTTAGTGTAAAAACAACAAAACACAAGATGTCAATGTGGTTTAATACTTTTTTGAAGGCATTATACTGCACTAACAGTCATTGTATAATGTGTATAATGAGCAATTATGTCTGTTTGGTTTTAATTTCATGGTGTTAAACCCACTATTGTTCTCAAATCTACATTAGATTGTTATTTTAAATTAACTAAGTGTTGATAGGCATGGTACCTCCTTTACAATTGTGCAACCTCTTATTATTCTATCCCTTCCACACTAGTGAATAATGCATCATTTTAAAGCTAGAAGAGTGCCACTCTAACTGTTGCCATGGTAACACAATGGAACTGAGAAGTTAATTCAAAAATGAAATGTATTTACATGTATTATTACATTTACATTAAACCCAATACTAACAATAGCTTTCTTTGTACAGCACATTTCATACAATAATTGCAGTCCAAAGTGCTTCACAGAAAATTGATATCACGATTCAAGATTCAAAGATTTCAAGATATATCTGAATCTTGAATTGTGATATCATTTGTGTGAAGCACTTAGGACTGCAATTCTTGTATGAAAGGTGCTACATTATAATTTAAATTAACATCTGAGTTCCATTGTGTCTCTCACATACAGTATAATACAGTCACCAGTAAAAGACATCAAAATAAACATAGAAAGAGCATAAAATAGACGTAAAAAAAGATTTTAAGTTACGAAAATAAAATAGTGCATTCGAATTATTTTTTCGTTGTATCTTTCCTTTATTGAACAAAACAAAATACAATGCAGCTTTACGTGTCTGTGCAATCAACACATATAACAAATACAATATAAATACAAATAATTGCATAACTAATGTGAATAAACAACATAATATATAAATCTAAAAATTGTAGGCCTATTTGATTTCAATTCCAGCTTATTCTTCAAACTCAAATCAATTGTACACCAATGGAGCAGTTTTGTGCAGCTGTTGAACTCATGCACTTACATTGTAGGCACAATTCTTTATATGAAAAGTGGTCAAAGTAAGAGGGGTTTCCATAAATGCGGTTTGTTTAATATGATATGGTGCCTTCAGGAGAGTTGTGTTAAACAGCAGACTGTGTTAATGGTTGAAACTGGCTGCACAAAAAACACCATGATCCACTCAAACGGAACCCCGGATCAACATGTTTTCCGGTTTTTGAGTTAAAATAGCTTCTAGCTGTCAAACACGACATAAGAACAGTGAGTTACGAGAAGCGGAGTGCTCTGCGCGTTGGACAGTTTGTGTCATGTGGTCTGTGTGAAAACCCGTATTGGATCCCCGTGGTCACCTGGGCAAAAAACCTGAAGGAGCTGAGGAGCTGATAGTCTGCATGTGTCAGATGAACACTACACCTGTATATGATTGCCTTGACAAATATAACACAAAGTCTAAGAAATTACAAGCAATTAATCCCCGCGTGACTGACTTTTAAATGCAGAAATAAACCGAGAATAAAACGCGATAATGCACTAACTAGAAAACTATTTGCCCCAGAGGAGTCACGTGAATGCTAGGTTACCCTATGTGAAATATTAAAAGCCAAAGGAACATTTACACTGATCAAAACACACATTTAAACACAATATAAAAGCCAGAAACTAGTCCACTCCGCATCTTATTGGCCGCATGGCGCAGTCCGCAGCTTTGCGCGGATAAACAGCAGCTGTGCGCTGCGAGCAACAAAAAGGAAACCCACGGACAAAAACACTTCCATCGAACCGTTAACAGGAAATAATCCTCCAGCCGTACATCCAGCAGGTTCATCTGAAAGACTAACGATCTCCCCGGAGCACCGCCGCCGCCGTGCAGCTGCGTAAGCCCGCGGAGTGTGTGTTTTTTTCGGTTTTCCGCACAGACGCAGACGACTCCCTCCTGCTCAGCAGCGGCCTCCATTTTAGCTCCTTGCCCGGTCGGTGCCTCACGTGTCCTGGACTGTCTTCCTCACATGACCCGTGTGTTTGTCCCCGTGATCAGCGCTTCCATCTCCGTAAATCAGTGTCGTTGAATATCGGCGTTTTTACCCCCGCAAAAAGCTTCATGGATATGCTGGAGCAGAGTCTGGACAGCTCGGGGAGGTGAGAGGCTGCTGCCCCGCTTCCTGCTCAGACATGGCTCCCTCCACGGCCTAAAAGCTTTATCTTCTAGCTGTTAATAACCTGCATGCCCCAGATACTTGTAAGATGTGTGCATTGTTTATGTTTTACCTCCTGCTGAATCTGGGTGCAGCCTTCCTGGATGAGGCGTTTTTTGCATCCGTCATTTTCACATTTTCAGCAGAAAGTGTGCGCCCTTTTGCAAATGTGTAACATCACGATTACTGCTTTATTTACTTGATAAGAAAAGCAAATGCACATCAGCGATTAGGGTTTATTTTCAAGACATCACACTTAGTTTAACGTTGTTGTTTCACTATAGCTAATGCAACTCTTTTAGCATTAAAATGCTTAAATTAAACTAGGAAGGGCGGTGTTAATAGTGTTATAGTTATTTCTGAAGTTTTTCCTTTGCTTGTGCACTTAATATAATCACTTGCAGTTGAGTTTTAATCGTTAAATAATACATAGTTTTCTCCTGAAAGTTGCATAAAACATGACTTCTGTCACGCTTTGCCCGCCAGTGATGTATGACTTTATTTATGTTTTCTCCATCATCTCCTCCTGGGACCACCAGGGGTCGCCATTCCCCCACACCTTGCTCTGAGAGCTTTATTCACATATTCATTTATGATCAATAATTGACTCTGTTCTCTTTTTGTTTCTAGTCACGACAAACAGGAAACAGAAGAGGTGGTGCAGCTACAGGAAGGTGAGGTTCTTCTAATACTAAAATGTAACCTATTCATTTTCTGGAAATAAAATGTGTAATGCATATTCATCCACTTACTTGTCTTTCGTCGTTGTGCCTGTGCAGCCTCACAGATTGGAAACCTGTTCTGTGTTGCAGGAGAGTCGGTGGGCACGGTGGAGCAGACCGCAGTGACCATCACCGGCGTCCCGCAGGCTGCGTTCACTGACCACAATGTGCAGTACCAGTTCCGCACAGAGAACAGCGGAGGACAGGTGAGCATGGATGATCTGTGGAGAGATAAATGTTATTGACAAGAAGTCTCACTGTGATCCAGATATTTTCTTTTACAAGAGAAACCGGTACTTTACATTAATAAACAACACAACAAGAGAATTAAGTCACACATAAAGCAGTTATCACACTCTGATATAATCGTTAAGTAACAAAACATCAGTAAGTATAGCATAGTTTTTACATAAATTCTTAAAATGTATGTTTTTTACTAAGGAGCTATTTAATAATGCAAGGCACATTTATGTGTTTTTAACATGTTTTTAGTTTTTTTTTTAAACTTAAAAATAAATGCTTTGGGCGTTTTATTTCCATTTAATTTGTATTGTTGCAAAATTGATGCTTAGCAGTCATGAATCTCTTAGCTTAGCTCTACAGTTGAAGTTTTTTGCTCCTGTTTTAGTAATGTAATGCAGTAAGTTTGTTTTCAAAAGTGTATTATAAAGTAAATTAATATTAACATAACTAATACACTTAACGAAGAGAGAACAGGAGTATTCAGATTCTGGCTGTTTTGCTATTGTTACAAAGGCATGCTAACCATTGCAGTTTGCATTGTAGCAGTTTTGCTCAAGCTAAAAAAAACACACATCCCATTCATTTATTGTAACGCTGATTATAGTTCTCTCTACAGCCCATTCACACACCACTCCCACATGTTGGGAAATTCAGAGCTTTGCAAGCCTGCCACGCCAAGTTACAGATACTAAGATTAGATAACCATGTTCTGTTGAGAGGTTTAGCTAACGGTTAATGTTCAGAGTGCTGATGGATGATTACAAGCCCTTTGGTTAGTATGTTAGAAATGCTCCCAGGTTCAAACGTGTTCACACATTGTGATTAATTTGCACGCTAGAAATAACCACAACTCCCCACTGTGTCATTAGAAAACAGATGAGACTCCTGATATTTATTCACACTTAAAAACAAAACAAACAGTAGGAAATCTAAAGGATTGTTGAACCTTTGGATTTTTGGAAAAACTAGGAGCGAAGAGTGAAGTTGGCTGCTTTTTGCTGCTAACAAGCTATTTTCATATTAAATGTGTGCAGTTAAATCTACAAAATGTCTAAAAAGTGTGATTACTCCTTCTTTTTTAAACGTTTCCTGTGCTCTGCCTGCAGGTGACGTACCGTGTGGTTCAGGTGACAGACGATCAGTTGGAAGCCTCAGCTGATGGGTCAGGGGCCGTCAGTGTGGTCTCTGCTGCAGCGTTTGCTGGAGCCCCCCAGGCAGTGGCACAGGTGGGTGAACGCTCTGAGAGGCGGAAGCAGGTGTAAGGGGGGGTTGGTTGGTTGTCTCATGCATATGGTGCGCACATCCACATTAAAAAGTGGTAATTGTCACGCAATTGTGTTATGACATTTGTTAATCAACTTTACTCTGTTGCCTAGCAGTATAAAGTTATATGCAAGAGAAGATAAATGTTCTGCCTTACAATATCCTTATTTTATTCATAACTAGGGGGAAGATAAAATCTCTTCAGCAATGTCAACACTTTTAAAATTTCTG